TGACGTGGGGTGTCGTTGGATAGGTCTTTCAAAAAGAATGCGGGTTTGTGAAAACAATTTTTCGATTAAAATCTTACGGTGAAGAAAAATATCTAGAGGAATCCTGCATGTCTGAGAGAACCATGCAAGTTTTCAAAAGACATGTGAAGTCCACCAACTCGCACTTGGCCAGCGCGGCGGAGTATGGCCTGATCCCTCTCGTATTGAAGGGAAGCCCGTGCCCAGCAGTGGGATGAGGGCTGTATACATATAAATGTGAGATGTCTATACTGATATTATAAATGTGAAAGTGTGTTTGTTTGTCTTTCTTTCACGTCGAAACAGAGTAACGGATTGGCGTGATTTTTTGTGTGGAGATATTTGGAAGGATGGAGAGTGACATAGACTACTTTTTACCGTGCGAGACCATCTCATTATCACGGGAAAACACGTTATAATACAACCCAAAAAAATATTTATGATCAGAATTACTTGAAATTTGGTATTAATGCCCTTTAATACAATTAAATAAATACGTGTTTTAGCATTTTTGGAAATTCATCTCATAAGGGGGTAAAATAAGGGATGAAAGTTTGTATGAAACCTACCTTTTTGGAGTTTTTTAAATCCAAGCAAAGTTTATTCAAAACTAGCGACTTACCCTCGGGTGCGTTCTTAGATTCGTTTTAATTTTTTTGAGCGGAACCCTAATTATTTTTCTATATAAAAGTAGCCTAAGCTACTTCTTATAACATCAGCTATCTGCCAGTGAAAGTCCTGTCAAAATCGGTCCAGCCGTTTCAGAGATTAGCCAGAACAAACAGACAGATAGACAAAAAGTTTAAAAATTGTGTTAATTGCTTAGTAAAAAGCTGTTATTTTGACATTACAAACAGACTCTTCAATTTTATCTATCTGTATAGATAACGGTATTTTTCAACAATATTTGCGTCAGGAGGTAAAATTCTATACTAATTTACATTAAGTCATCGTTCGCGTGAGAATTATCTTGGTATTATAATTCAGGGTTTTACATTTAATTTGCTTAATGACTCAAGTATGTTAGATAACTTAGTCGATAAGAAATACATATATTATATAATAATTTCGAAAAAAAATATATTACGATAAGGTACCTCACGTGTGTTCTGCTTGTATAAACAACTAGTTAGCTTATGGATTTGTCTCATATTCATTTATTATTATTCATATGTATTATTATATATATATGTATTATTCAAAAAAAGTTCAATGTTAACCATGAATAATATTTATTAAGATTTTATTGAATTACTAGCGACTCAGCCTCGTTTCGCTCTGGTTCGTCCCTAGTTACGTTTAAACGGTTAGTATGGAATAGATAGACTATATATTATATATACATACATAATATAATATATACATACTTAATATAATATATACAAACATAGATTCGAAATTGCAGTGGGGCCCCCATATTGAGGGGCTAGCGAGTAGACTCAGCTCTGCAGCATTCGCGGTAAAAAAAATAAGACTTCTTACTGATGACAGCTCGCATAGTATATTTTAGTTATTTTCATAGTATTATGTCCTATGGTATCTTACTATGGGGAAATGCAGCTGCTATTAATACGATTTTTGTCCTGCAGAAAAGAGCTATTCGTGCAATTTATAGTTTAGGTCCTAGAGTGTCATTAAGAGAGAGTTTAAAGAAATAAATATATTGACTGTTACTTCTCAGTACGTGTACGAAAATGTTATGTATGTCCGTAAAAATATACATGAATTTCCCAAGCAGTGTGACATGCATAACATTAATACTAGGAGCAAACACAAACTTGTAATACCTGTGACTCGTCAGACACAGAGTCAGTAATTCTTTTTATGGACAATGTATACGCTTGTACAACAGGATCCCAGAAAATGTTCAAAAGGCTTCTATCACCAAATTCAAAAAAATTGTTAAAGAACGTTTGTGTACTAAAGGCTATTACACAATAAATGATTTTATAGAAGATGGCACACCTTGGGAATGAAATGATCGTCTCCAGGCTACTTCAAATTGATAGAAATATTGTAAATAATAATTTGACTTTATATAAAAAAAGATAATGAAATAATATTAGTCCCGCTGAGTTTCTTTCGCCAGTTCTTCTCAGGTCTGAGGCTTCTTCTTTCCGAACTGGTAGTAAACTCATGACGTTCAGTAAAAATTGTAATAATTTAATGCTGAATAAAATTTTTTGAATTTTGATTTTTTGAATTTTGAATACATACATATGTACAAAATAAACAGTTCTGCACTCTTTGATTTTTCTGCTGTTTTTTTGGGGTTTACCTTATTTGTTCATACTTAAACTACCTCCAACAATACAAAAAAGGAAATGTTCAAATCAGTCCAGCTGTTTTTGAGTTTTAGCGAGACTAACGAACAACAATTGATTTTTATATATGTATAAAGATTGTATTGTCGGGTTTGTTATATTCACAAATTTTCAAATCAATTCGACAATCAAACTGACAAAATTTTAAAGATTTCTTAAAAAGTAGCTCATAATCATCACCAGAATGAAACCTGTAATGGCATAGGCTTGGTCATGTGACGTAGTGACAGATAGACTAGCTCACTTTTGTGTTTATAAGAATGACCTTTTTCTCACCGACCAATCTCCCGCGTGTCTTCTCCTTTATACGTGGCATTGGCAAAGTAATTTGTGCTCTACTATCACCTTTTTAAATCATTATAAATCCAATTGAATTGAATGGACTTTTTGTCTTTATTTTGATAGATAGTTTCTTTCACGAAACGAATATGTCACCCTCGTCAATGCTTACAAATATATATGTACATGAATAATACAGACAGACTGAACCATGAAGAATCCATAAAAATGTTTAGAGCTACATTTATTTCCAGAAACTGCCACGAGTCGCGCTGATTTATGTCGTTACCAGGTGAATTTAGCTGTATACATATATATGTCAGTGGCATGAAGTTAGTAATAAACAAATCAGTGTGATTGTAATGAACCTTTCTTGTCTCTCTTGGGACTTAGCGACCGCATCGTTCTCTGGGGGCCCACTATTATTTTTTCAAATTTTTGGGGTATCTTTTACATACAGAGATTAGACTACTTGTTTTCATGAACTGAACTAAGCTTAGTCACTAAATTAAATAAATAAATATGAATTGTATTAACTACTAAAAGCTTGCATAATTTTATGTTATCTGTATTAATAGGATGTGGATCAGGATTTCCCGATGCAGTTGTGCTTTAAAATAAACCTATTATGTGTATATTACCTATTATTTAGATCATATTATTGTTTAATTGATAATATTACTTTTTTTATTATTTTTCTGTTGGTATAGTAATGTCAACTATATAATATACTAGCGAAGAGTGAAAGGTGAGTACCCTCGCTCGGGTACGTCCCTAGTTAGGTTTTAATAACGTTTAGTATAGATTTCTCAGAGATGAGATAATTTCCCGCATTAGAAAAGTATCCTGATCCGATCCTGATAAATACGTTGACATTATACCAAATTTCATCAAAATCTGTCCAGTGGTTTTCTCATGATGCGTTCCCAGACACATAAACAGACACACAAAAATTCTAAAAAATATAGATTCGGTTTCTGTATCGATTATATGAATAATGAGTATTTCAATAAGATTTTCCAAAAAATATTTAATGTACAGATTCGCCTCAGTTACAATTTTATTTTATGTATAGATTTTCAAAAAATATATTAATTTATACTTTCACCCTTGGCATTTTTGCATTCATTTCTTTACCTTTTAATGAGAAGACGAGAGAAGATGGGGGGCATCTCTGAGGACCCATAAAACCCACAATTTATATTTTCCCACCTGAAATGAGTGAGGAATAACAGAGCTTAAAGTTTAATTAAATTGTCACTTTCAATGATAAATGTTTAAAACAATAATGACCTAAATCGAAGGTCCTGACATTTTCCTTTATGCGGCCTTGTTCAGTCGCTAGGTCAAAATATTTACTAATGTGTCCATTTATATGCAACTGGGCACGGAAGCCTCCGTGCACCGAATAAATGAGATCGAAGGTATTTATATGGCACGGCTACGACACGACTATGATTTTTTTTTGTTTTTGTTTGTACTACAGATAACATAAACCTATTGATAATATTACTTATTTTTATTATTTTTCTGGCTAGACTTTTTACAATTATTTCAAATATTATATGTTATATTCCCATATATGGGATACTCGTATAAAGAGAATATTAATATATATTTAATGAAAATAATTAATAGATGAGTTTGTAAGCATAAAATAATATTTACTATGAAAAATGAAATAAATTACCTATTTCTTACTTTTATATGTATACAGGAAGATGAACTTAAAATATAAAAGTCATCGCTGTTATCTCATGTACTTAGCTGAAGACGTGCGTTCGACATAATGATTTACGTATATATAAAATAAAATACATATATTTTATTTCGTAAACATGTAACCGTAACTTTAAGCATACTTAACGTTAATGAAGAAATTTTCTTGGTTTGTCCTTTTTTCCAATAATATACTAATAGGTCGGTAGGTTGATTGTATCAGAGGTGGTTTTTTTCTTAGAAATACGGTCTGAGCTCTAGTTCAACCGTAGCTCAGTCTAAAACAAACTTTTTTCACGTGTGTTTTGTGTGAAGATAGTTGGAGGCCTAGAGTGACATAGGCTACTTTTTACCACGGGAGATAATCTCATTTCCACGGGAAAACGCGTTATGATATAACCCAAAAATATTTGCGATCAGAACTACTTGTTTGGTATTAACGTTCTTCAATACAATTACATAAACATGTGTTTTAGCATTTTTTGAAGTTTATCTCATAAGGGAGTAAAATAGGGGATGAAAGTTTGTATGAAACCTACTTTTTTAGAGTTTTTGATAGTCTTAGCGCGAGCGAAGCCGCGGGTTCTGCTAGTATTTTATAAATAATGTTTTACTTTTTGCTTCTCATAAATTTTTAAACACATTTATTTTTAATTCCAGTTAACAATGGCTATGAATCGGACAGAGAAGAGTGGAGGAGCAGCCGATCACAGTTCTCCACTACAGCCTTCGACAGTCTCGCTCGGCCCACCAAAATGGCGATGGCACTAACTCTCAAAAAACCTCAAAGGCTCGAACCGGTACCACAATACTTTCGCCTGGCAAGCGATTCAAAACCAAAACTTACACCTCTACCGTTTAGACCAAACAACTTCCTCCAAAGAACGCCAAGACTACCCCGTCCCAATACGGAAATCAAACAACGAAACTTCTCCACGGATCATAGAAAGTACGCCTCACTACAGTCCCTCGAATTACCAAAAAAGCTCAGTGAACCAAAAAAGAGCGACAAAAAGACCAACTACACAAACATTTCTCATAGAATCACTGGTCTAACAAATAAGTTAAGAGATTTGAGCAGTGGGAACACAATCGGTAGGCTTAAAGCGCAATCTCATTCAGATGTCGCAAATTTGAAGCCAGTATTGAAAATTCAAGATGGAAAACGATCTGTAGTAAGGACGTGTAGTGCGGAACCACCAAAGAAAGTAACTTTTAGCGCATTCGCCACGGTTCAAGTGGTATAGATTTTAGATACCGCTTTGTTTTGAGATAAATCTGTGAATATATTGGGATATTACTTGTTATACACATATGTATAGGTTATTCTGAAATTATATGGACGATGGGTAGTGTACGACCACTCTTATATTTTCGAATACATATTTCTATGAACAAAGATATTTGAAATATCTCTTTTGTCTTATTTGTAATAACAATAATATATGAAAACACACATTACTTTGAAAATTGAAGGCCAAATTACTGATAACACTATCTTGTAGTGACATATTATTATATTATTTAAATAGTAACTTTTTTTCTAGGACACTTGTTTGTATTAAAAGGAAAAAAGCCTATGATGATTATTTTGTATTTATATAAAAATCGTGGTAGGTCGGGATTTTTGTGTTAATAAATTAAAAAAAGAATCTTATAGAGATTTTCCTACTGTACGTTTATAGTATATGTACATATATTTATATAAGCATTTGCTGTCGTAATACTAACAAATAAATACAATAATATCCTATAAATAGTTAGCAAGTGTGAAAATACCATAATAAAATAAAATTATATATATGTGAAAAAATTGTTTAAATAAATTAATTTGTGTAAGGGAATATGAATATTTTAATTACTTGGAAACTTATATATTGTTTTCGTTACATGTACATAATTTAAGATTTATCTTGAGATTTATCTTTTGAACTGACACAATATTTTAACTTATAATATGTAATAGTTACTAGTTGTGTTTCAATTTAGAATTATCTTCAAGGCATTTTTAATTTAGTTATATTATAAACAAAATATTATTGTTATGAATCTGACCTGACTGTTTCGTGGCGGTTCTCACATTTTTTTAATGTACCCATGCAAATAAGTATTATTGATATCTCGCATCAGGCTATAGTCCACCACGTTGGCAATGTGCTGTCTATTTAGGCTTTAGATTTGCAGATTTCCACACGATGTTTTCCTTCACCATACAGTTAGAATAAATAATCATATTGAAAATAATTGAAGGCATTAAAAATTATCTAGTGATGCGAGACCCCGAATTTCTAACTTCACCTGATTTTCCAAGCGAGCTACGAGCTACCTCGGGGCTACCTCTGTATTATTAATCATATAAATATACTTAACGATTCTAGCAAAGTTTTATTTTTCGCTTTTTAAGTATTTTTGTGAGAATCGTCATCATATGGACTTAGTTGCTTATTATTATTTTTTTTTGGTAATTGTTTGATTTCTTTTTTTAATGTCTAATTTAAGTACAGTCTGTTTTACATTATTAAAGGCCTATTTTTTACATTATTGTTTTACATTATTGTTTTACATTATTAAATGGAAGGAATAAATGTAAAAACTCAGTTTACTAAGGTAATGTGAATAAAATAGTTATTGTTTTTTTTATAGCCAGTTAGGCTACAATTTTGTTAAAGAATTTTTTTTAATGAAAAAATAAATAAACAATCCTTTAACAAAGATGTAAGCGAATTATTATGTACACATTGGCTTTACTCTTCATTAGACTTTGATGAAAATTGAAATATACGACACTTACTAAGAATAATATTTTTAGAAATGAATTTAAAAATTAAAATTAATTTCTCCTATAATTATAAAGTTAAATTCGAAACGTGTAGCACTTTTTTACTGACATACAACATTATACTTTGTAAATGTCGATATTTTTCTCTTGGCCAAATCAAGGCAATGTTGACTTAGCAATTATTTTTTATAATAACACATTTTTAAAAGTTTGAAATAATTTTGTTATGTTCACAAAAGTTTTACTTACAGAAAGAAATTAAAAAAATATTCTTGTACATCTTAGGTTTTGATTGAAAGACCTGTTTTTGGATAAATATCCTATTTTACGTGGAAAGCTAGCTCAAGGTGTGTTCTCGAATGTTCCAAAGATTGAAATGCCACCAATCTTTCTGAGATTGCTGTCGGTCAGTTTCAGGTGTAAATACATACATAAATATATTATTTTAAATAGAAAATAAGAATATTTACAATATTTTATCTATTGGCCGACAATGTATACTATTTTATTTGATTGATGAGCGAATTTTGAGCGATGTTTGAATGTGTAATTGTACCCACAGCTTGTTGCTAATTTGCCGTGAGATAATATAGGCGTTATTCTTAAATTACTCATTTTTATAGTAATATAATAAATTATACAATTATTTATTTTACATAAATATTTCTTTTCAAGTTTGGTTTTGTAAGTTATCTTTCCTCCTTACTAATATATAGTAAACTTTGTACAATGATAACATTTCGTTTTTAAATTATATATTTAAAATCATTTATCATGTTTTACAGATTCAAATATTTTAAAGCTTTATTATTTATTTATGTTTTCATAGAGTGGATTTATTTTTTTTCAAAAATCTTTTTGTTTTTTTTTTACCTCCAAAAATATAAAGTTAAACTCTTATAGAATCACTTTGCTGTCCGTCTATCTGTCAAAAATATTTTTCTTAAAAACGCATAGAAGATAAGTTCAAGTTGAACTGAACTGAGGATATGAAAAAATATTACATTTCGTCGTTGGAAGTGAAAAAATAATAATTTCCACAACAGCCGAACCAAAACAACATTAACAGGAAGATTGAGATTTTTTTAAATATACTCAGATTTTTACAGATACATAATAAAAATAAATAAAAAATAGCTTAGATACATACTATATACATATTTATATTATATACATATTTCCTGTATAACAAAATTCTCTTAACTTTCGTAAATCATTAGACAAAACTATAATAATCATTATATTTTTTTATTTTTCTATTACAGTCCCCAAACTTTCCCAAAATACGGAACTTTCAATCATGTTTACATAATGAGTACTTTACAAGTCACAGATGTTAGTACTTATATGAGCCATAACGATATATTATTTGACGACACGTTTGCTTCTGCTTGTAGTGACCCTACTAGCTGTGCCAGTGCTCGCGGATTCGAATCTCGCTGGGGGCATTCATTTGTGTGTTTAGCACGAATTTTTGTACTCCTGTCATGGGTTTATTTAAAGCTATATAAGTTTAGTGTATCAATTATCTGGTATCCATAACACAAGATTCGTAACTTACCATGGAACTAGATAGTGTTGTGTGTTAATATCCCAACATATTTATTTATTTATTATAAACACACAACCGTACACATATTCATAAAATCCCATTTATCTATCTTTAACATTCTTTAGATAAAAAGTAGGTTAAAATAAATAATCTTTTATTCAATTGATACTGCTTTATTTATTGCTATATGATTTATTTCTAATACCTATTGAAATTACGTAATAAATGATAATCACGCTATTCTTCTTCAATCCTTTTTCCAGCGGGATACTTTTTAACGTACCATTGCTGTGCAGAGGCCTCCCTTATTACGCGGGGGATCAGGCCATAGACCATAGTTCACTTTCAGTGGGATACTTTTTAACATCCCACTGCTGGACACGGGCCTCCCTTAATACGCAGGGGAACAGGCCATAGTCCACCATGTTCACCAAGTGCGGGTTGGCGGACCATAAATGCCTAATATGATATATATATATATATATATATATATATAATTCATATTTATATTTAAAAATCTATATGAAGAACCTAAAAATATTCAAGTCACTCGAAGAAATGTATTAATAAATTAAGTAGTTTTAAAAAATACTAGTTAATGTTTACTGAAAATTTACTTATTACTTTACTAATAAGAATAGATTATAAGTGTGTATATATGTTGTATGTTGTTACTTGTTTTCGATTTCATCTTATATTTGTTTGAATTAAATAAATTGTTTTTCCTAAAAATGCTTTTATTTGCATAATATGTTTATATCGTTAGTATAGATTTCTCAGATATGAGATATTTCCAGTAATCCTCTGTGTATGTAAAAGTATCCTTTATGTTGACCCAGTTAAAAGTATACTGTATGATAACCAGCTATCATCTTACCAAATTTCATCAAAATCTGTCCATTGGTTTTCTCGTGGTGCGTTCCCAGACAGACAGACACACAGACAAAAATTGTAAAAAGTATAGATTCGGCCTCTGTATCGATAATAACTATTTCAATAAGATTTTCCGATAAATATTTAATGTAAGGATTGGGCGCAGTTAGAATTTTATTACATATATGTATAGACTAGTGATTTCTCGCGGTTACGCCCGTATTAATTAAATTTATGAAATTACTTCGCACTCATAGGTCGTAATGTGATGTAAGGTTCTTTAATGAATAAGCTTATACATGCAAAAATATTTTTTTCTAATGTACCGGTTGATCCAGAGACGAGCGCGTTCAAGCAAACAAACTCTTCGGACAACAGCTTTATTTACGGTTTTATAAAATATATAATGAATAAAACTTTATTTTTATAACCGTTAGTATGGAATAGACAGACTAGACTATATATGTATATACATATATATATACATACATATACATATATGTGCATATGTATAATGTAGGTATAGAAAAGTAAATAAGTACTTTAATACAAGCTTTAAAAAATAAAATAAAAACCGACATCCAGGCACTAAAATGTAAAAGATAACTAAACGGGGGTATTCATTTAGAATAGATACCTAATCAGATATTTTCGAAGTCGGTGCCAACAATATAATTCGATACGTAAAACTCATATTTCCCTATTAGACATTCATCTATCTATACTTATTATAAAAATAAGTCCCCCGGCCGCGTCTTTCTGTCCTCCTGTCTGTCCTCCTGTCTGTCTGTACGCGATAAACTCGAAAACTACTGAACGGATTTTTATACGGTTTTCAACAATAGAAAGAGTAATTCTTGAGGAAGGTTTAGGTATATAATTTATTATGCTTTTATGTAAATTAGCTGAAATACGGCGACAAATGTTGAAGAGGTCGCAAAAAATCTCGCCAAATGGGAACTTTCCACGCGAACGCCGCGTAAACTAGCAAAGATACAGTTAAGTAATGTACTAGAGAATTCAAAATCTATAAAAATGCTACAAAAAAGTCCGCGATAGCATATCTCTATCTCTTACGGTTGACTTACAATAACCACTTTTATGTTAACATTTTTAATTAAAAACATTACGTTATTTTCAAAGTTATTTTCTTTAGTTCGGTATTAATCCTTATCCAAATGAATATTTTAGTTAGCTTAGTCATTTAATGCAGATTAAAATTGCTCTTTACACTAAATCAATCAGATGAATAGTTTTTGAGATATCGTTGTTAGAAGTAATTAGTAGCGAAACATTTTTAATGCTTGGCGAGCATTGAGATGCCTACGGCGAGTCCATCCCCTCTGCCCCGCATCGCTCGACCGCCTGCTCAAGCTATATAAACCGGGCGATGTAGCGCGCGATCCTAGGATACTTTTTACCGCGGGAAAATATCTTATTTCTGAGGAAAAATACAAAAACTGCAATGTAAGAGTATACTAATATGTAACACCTAAGAATTTAGTTTTTGGTCATCTGAACGCGGGCGGAGCCGCGGGCAATGCTAGTATATATATAAAAATATTGTCGGTTGTATAAACATGTACATATGTATATACATATATACTCTTAAGACTATTCTATTTTATTCTTTATTATTATTATATATTATTATACTGAACGTTAAAATAAGTCGCTAGTATATTAAAATAATACACATCGTTTAGAAAAAGAAATTTAATTTATGATAAACAGAGTCAACGTCTCGTTGTCTTCGTTGACAATGTCCAAGATGATTTAATAAAAATTTAAAGACTCAAAACTCGTTAAGTTTATCACGCATTGTTTATCGCCACAATGGGTTATCATGTCAATTCTTATCAATAAGAATAATTTTCTTTTTCAATTTTTTGATTTTACTTTAGAGTGAGGCGAGTTGTTAAGGAGAATTCGAGTAGAAACATCGTGCCTATACCATGTAAGTGTTTTTTTTTTAAATCAATATCTTCTTGGACAAATAAATTAATTATTCCTTCCACGACCGCGGACACGCCGGCGTTACAGTTAACAATGGATTTCTTAGAAATTTAATTAATTTCTTAGAAATTTACCTGGAGGTGGTTTAAATATTTTAATGTAGCTGATGTCAAGTTGAATTCACTCATTCGGCTAGTTTAAATAAATCTTTAAATTAAATTGGCAATAGTTACATGCTATGAATTAATAAAAAAAAAATCTTCCCTTAGTGGTAAATTATGGGATATCTGAAGCGGACGACGAAAAAAAGTAAGGTCCATATTAGGCATATTTGTACCTCCAGGGGATATGAACATGCACACATAATATTTTTTTTATTTGAGGTTTAGTTGTCAAGTTATGGAATTCTAAAGAATTGATCAGATTGAATCCCTTCAACATATTTAAGAATCCATAAACCCTCCCGGGTTTTTTGGATTCTTTTTTTATATTGAAGTAATTAGAAATAAAACAAAAAATGTAATGTTCTGTATAGAAAATTGCATCTATATCTATACATGTAATAAAATTGTAACTAAGCCAAATCTGTACGTATATATATATATATATATATATATATATATATATATATATATATATATATATAATGCTTTATATATTGCTTTATATATAGGCTATTATTCCTTTTTTGTTATAGGTATATATATATATATATATATATATATTTATATATTTAATTAAGATTATTATTATTTTTTAATTTATTTAATATTTTATATATTACATAAATATCATGGTAACTTTATGAGAATAAGATTCATAATGATATATAATATCAATTGACATTGAATGTGGTTGAAGACAATAAGGTTAAGGGTAGACCAATAGGTGGTGTCTAGACGTAATTCATTATATAAATAGGAAAAAACAAAACAGTTCAATTCAATTTTCTTGTTAATAGCTTTAAATCGTGTCATATGAGCACAGATTACTTTGCCAATGTCACGTGGAATGGAGAAGACACGAAGGAGATTAATCAGTAAAACAAAAATTATACTGTACAGAACAGCTATTATTATAAAAAAATATTATTAAAAAGGTACCTTTTACTCTTCTATTTGTCAACCGTTCGTGTTTTTTTTGTTTGACAAGCTTTTAGTGTTATCATTTTTTTTTAAATAGGTAAATTTGAATCTTACATATTTTCCTCAAAAACACGACGGCTTTACATGCTCTCCGAGGCACGGGGATGTAACACCGCCAACTTTCCAACTCCGGACTGCTACTGAGAATTCCTTAATAGAAAAACTCAATAACTAAACTTGGCCCGACTTGGGGCCCTAACTCAGGACCCCCGCATTCGCGGCCGTACATGCTAGCCACTAGACCACTGAAACAGTAAATTTCATATTTTTATTAGTAGATAGTGCTAAAACTTATGTAAATACTAAATATATGTTGTTGTGTCTGGGTTTTATTTATCAAGTTAACGTTATTTTTTATTTAATTTACAACCAATATAACCTTGGTTTTATATGAAATGAGAATTAGCCATTTTTTTAATAAAAGCTATTTTATTATTTCTTCTAATATAAAACAATAACAAAAGTTATTTTATGAATCGACATACTTCTAACTTTAATTACCTGTGTAATCTAATATTTATTACACAGTTCAATAACTTAATTGAAAAAAGTTATAAATATTTATTTTTCTTGGGTGCTACTTACTATATGATGCTGAGGAGTTTTCGCGTAGGTACTACAGGAGCTAAATAGGCAGAGAGAATTAGAAAAAGGGCGATCGTATAATTATAAGTACGATAGCCATTTCATTTTAGATTCAACAAAAAAAACAAAGAAACACGCCATCCGAAGCGACATCGTTGAACAGGTCAAACAAGACAATAGGAAAAGAAATCTATCTGAATCCCCTGAAGAAGTATAGTAATATAATTAGTAATAATTACCTGTTTTATGGAATTGTCAGAAATATTTATATGGTGCATGGAGGTGTGTGTACGCTCCACGTGAACAAAACCACATATAGCAAAAAGAAGATAATTTATGAATTTTAAATATTTTAATCATACATTTGTGATAAGCTTACTTTAATCAATCATATTTACAAACAATTTAGTGATATCAAAATATGAATGCGCCATGATAATATTAATATTCAATAAATGTTTTATCAAAATGAATAAAAAAAACGCTATTTAATTTAAATGCATTACAAACTTGATACTTATAAGTGCGACTGTCGCAATTTGCAAAAAAATTATGTTCTCCTTATTTACAAATTTAACTTAAATAAATTCATCACTCTCAAATCGTTTAAGAAATGACTACACCTACAGTATACACTGTACAATTACAATATGTACATTGTACATCTATTGTACAATATGTAAATTTATAGTAATAAATTTATATATTATATATATATATATATATATATATATATATATATATATATATATATATATATATATATATATATATATATAGTTCTGTATTTTTTCTTATTCAGCTTTCATATCCTAGTGGTGTCGTAGCTCAACTGGGCAACGAACTTGCTCCTACCAATGTGAAGGACCAACCTAACGTCTCCTATGAAGCTGATCCAAACTCGTATTACACTCTTATTTTTACTGGTAAGTGTGAAAAATCTATGTTCTGAATCAGTAGCCTATTATAAAATGTGATTTTATTAGGGTCAATGTCAACAGATAATTATATTAGTTAAAAAAAAAGATTAACTTTCGTTCCAAGACCCTGACAACCACGACTGTAGGGTCAATAGATATTTATACATAGTGATAAACAAATAAAAACCCTCTTCAAATTTATAGTTTTCCTTTACTATTACATATTTTAATAAGATATTTTCGAAGTTTGATTTGTATCGCCTGTCTTTTTTTTTAATTTTAATTTTCCATTTTTAGTGTTCACATAGTAGAAGCAAGGTAAGAAGAAAGTATTTTAAAAAATTCAGTAGGTGAAAAATACACTTATTAAGTACGTAATGCAATTTTTGAAGATTTTTGAACCACCCATGTAACGCGCCGTAACGTTTTGCTGTACCTGATATAACTGAAATAAAACATTAAAGTCAAAATAAAATTGTATTCTTCACAAAAAAATTAAAATAAAATCAGCCATAATGGTTTTCTTTAGCCAAATTTCGTTGGAATTTTTTGGCACAGTTGCGCTGGCAAGTTAGCATGAGAGCCTTTATATGACAAGAACAGCTGATGATGCAAATCTCTTTCTTTTGAGGAAATTACAGTATGAACTTACTTTAACAACACTGATGGATTGTGCTTCTGCGTAAACTCAATTTAAGGGCAATGTTATCGACTATATATCAGAATTGTAACCTTTCGACTTATCGCCAATCGTTACTACGATAAATAATGATATTTTTTCTTGTATTACTTTGTATTGTGCGTTACTATTAATTCTAATCCTAAATAGTATTTTTTTGTTTTATTGGATTGACTACTTAAATATTAATATCTAATTTATTCTAATTATATGTCTGATTATGTAATTTTTTATATTTCAATTGTCATATTTATTAATTTTATAATTTAATTTCAACTTTATTTTTTCAATTACTATTATTTTTTAATTTTAAACTAGCATCTTGTAATTAAATGTTATTGACGTGATTTAAAAAAAGAGCATGTTGTGATAACCTGTAACTAAAAGAACATTTATGAATTTGTCAGCACATAAATATCTTATCGTTTTTAATGTATCTTTTGTTGGTTGTCCTTTAATAAATAAATTAATTAATTAATAAACACTAGCGAATACCGACAACGAAAAAAAAAATTTCGTACAATACACTCCAGGGATTCCCCGTAAAACATTACCGAAAACGATTGCCAACCTGGGAGATTTTGATTCCCTTGTGATTAAAATATACGTGTCGAATTGAGAACCTCTTCCTTTTTTTCGTCAACTAAAAATTCAGCGACTATCGAATATTATGTAAAGTAAAACTTAATTCTTCTGATGGTGGAGCCAGATCATAGGAACATCTCAACTACGCGACATCACTATACTAAATACATCATTGTAAGACGTACAATTTATTGGCCAACTTCTTTTACTTAAATGTATAAATATTTGACTGATTTAAAAATTTGATGGTACTCAATTCAGGTGTATTCGTAGTGAACTATTTTCTTTAGTTACTGAATATTATGAATTAAATATGTTCTCAAAGGCATCATCCATATAAATTCTAAGAAATAAACCTATTCTAAGCGTGGCGATAGTTATTTTTTAAGTAATTTTGGCCATATTTCTGTCAAAAAGGTAAAGAAACAATAAAAACTCATTTTTATTTATATATTAATTTTAAAACCTTTTTGATCCAAGACCCTGACAACTACGACGGACCTGAGAAAGTGTACAGAGAATGGCACCACTGGCTCGTCGTAAACATTCCCGGATCTGATGTGTCCAAAGGCGAAGTACTTTCTCCTTACATCGGCTCCGGACCTCCGGATGGCACTGGCATTCATCGCTACGTATACTTTTTGTATAAACAACCTGGCAAGCTCAGCTTCGATGAGAAGAAGCTGACTAACAAGTAAGATACAAAATCTTAAATGTAAAATTAATGTATAATATTGGTAACTATTCTATGTAGGTATTTTTTGTCTGACTGTGTGTTTGCTATTTTTTTACGGGTAAAACATAGATCTACATTTTTGTGGCAAAGGCAGATTAATTAGGCCATAAATTAAAACAAAGGCGTCAGACTTTTGTTTGAACATTCTCCATCTTGTATCTAAAATGACTAAAACAAGCCAAATCTAGTAGAACATTATATACTATAACTGTGTCCCTTTTTTTTTTTTTTTTTTTTTTAACGTTGGGAAATGCATTTACGCACGAGGTGTGGGACTCACCGGCAAAGCCAGTACTACCCACTAAAACCCAACAAAGCCTTCCCCCGTCTTAATGGGGCGTCGCAGGATCGCTTACGCATTCTACTACGACGCCCCGACGGCAGGTCTGCCGAAGCAGACCACAACGACCATGGGGTTGCTCCACAGTCCACTCTGCTATCAGAGAAGTACCAGGAGCAACCCGCATGGTACACTGCCCTCCGAAGAGGGCCACCTCCTACCGCCCACCGAAGTGGGCCTCCTCCCTGTGCGTTTCTTGGCTTCGCGCCCGGTTGGGTTGCCGGGCACTACTGAGCCCCGCCACCACGACAAGGTGAACGCACGTTGGGGGCACCCGATTTTAATAACTGTGTCCCTGTACCAACACTAAAAATATATTAAATAACTACAATTTAAGAAAAAAAAATTTAAGAGTCTTATTTTAATTCTTAAACCGAAAATGAGTTTTGATTAAAAGTTTGATAACTTCTTTTACATTGAAAAAATATTTTTTTCTAGATCAATCGACGGTCGCGCAGCTTTTTCTACAGCAAAATTTGCAGAAAAATACAACCTAGGAAACCCTGTTGCTGGCAATTTCTACCGCGCGCAATTCGACGACTACGTACCTCTTCTATACAAGAGCTTGGGAGTTTAAATTATTATTAAATTATATTATATAAATAAATAATTAGTAATTGTTTTACTTATATATTTCTTTCATTAAAAACAGCATGCATTATATTTATCGTATGTTAAGTTTTATGATATTATGTACCTACATGAGTGAGACATTTTCCCGCGGTATAAAGTATCCTATATGTTGACTCGGATAACCAGCTATCACCATACCAAATTTCATCAAAATCCCTGCAGTGGTTTTTCTGTGATGCGGTAACAGACAGACTGACAAAAATTCTAAAAACTATAGATTCGGTCTCTGTATCGATAATAATGTCTATTTCAATAAGATTTTCCAAAAAATATTTAATGTACAGATACGGCTTAGTTACAATTTTATTATATGTATAGATTAGAAGTGCGAAACCCAGGATTTGAACCAGTTTCACTCCCAAGCAAGCGCGTTAAGTACTAGGCTACCATTGACTATCTTTAAAATAGAGAGTAATTCTTAATACTGTTTTTTTCTTATAATGTGTTAATGTCAATATTCTTCTTAAAACCCCCCTAATGATATACATATGTATCAGGAATCTTACCTTAAATATTTAAATTCGTCAGCATCAATACTGGCGTACTGCGTCTCTTGGCTTCAAGGCCGATTGGGTTGCCGGACGCTAATAAGGCTCCTAACCATGACTCGGTGAACACCTAGGGATGTACCTCTTTTTTAACATTAGGAAATGCATTTAGGCATGAGCAACAAAGCCAGTATTACCCACTAAAACCCAATGGAACCTCCCCCGTCTTAATGGGGCGTCGCAGGATCGCTTACACACTCAACCACGACGCCCTGACGGCAGGCCTGCCAAAGCAGACCACAACAGCCATGGTTTTGCTCCAATGGTCCACTCTGTCTCTGCTATTAGAGAAGTACCAGGAGCAAGCCGCATGCCACACAGGCCACCGTGGTATATTATTTGCTAACCCAGTTAAAGCCAGTTACGGTGGTTGTACGGTGCAACCGTAACATACTCGTATTACAATTCAGCATTTACTGGACATGCGTAATTCATTATTATTTTAATTCATAAAAACCAAGTTAGTTCGCGTACCGCTAGCAAGTAAGCGGCGCGAGCTCACAAGTCCATATCATTTTCATTATCATTTCATTAATAGTAGCCTACAGACAGTAAATAGTATCAAATGTTAATTCCAAACGAATACAATTTCGTCAATCGGCGTGTCCAGTCCCGCGAGTCTGGTATAGCGTTTGCGGGTATTTCGTTACTGCGTAGTATATAACATTGCAAAAAAAATATCAAAAAAAAACATATTTTTGGCAACTTGATTTTTGTTTAATCTTTTCATTTAGTTTTTATATAATCCAAAAAAAAGAACCGCAGACGTTTTTGTCGGTTATAAAGTATTACCAGATCTCTCCAAAGATATTTTATTAAAATTCCCAAAAATATACTTTTGGCAATCTGGAATTTTATCACGTATTTATTGAGTTATTTTCACGTATTTATTTGAGTATTTTTTAATTACTGTGTAAAACTTCATGAACATTTAGTAAAAAATTGTTATTTTGCAAATGAAACTCGTCATCATTAGCATCAAAGGTCACATTCGGCTTTGATAGAGTTTGCAACGGATTGACTCTGTTCCCCAGATTTATTTCTACTCCTAAATACTCCTACTACATACATACATACATACATACATACAAACATGCATACGTACATACATACATACATACATACATAACATACTCCTAGTAACAATATTAATATTTGAAAATAATATTTTTTCAAAAAACTAACTTTGTTTAAATTTGATTAATTTGTTATAACTTGGTTTTGTTTTTACTCAAATATCAACGTAGCCCTACAACTCGCTCTCTAATTAAAAATTTAAATTACAATATTAGATTGGGATATGAACAAGTTCGGTATGTAATAATATTCTTGTTTCGCTAGTAATAATATGAATAATTTATAAGAAATAGACAATCTTATAGTCAAAAGTTTAAGATTTATTACATCTACCAAATTAAGTTTTTGAGGTACAATAGTGAAGTCAATTGATTATAAGTAGACCATTTATGCATTGAATTAAGCAATTACCTGTTGCTTAATTTATATGTAATTTTTTTTAGAAAAAATATATAGTCTACTAGCGACTCATCCTCGCACCGCTCGGGTTAGTCCCTACTTACGTTTTAACGTTCAGTATAGATTTCTCAGAGATGAGATGTTTTCATCCCGGAAAATGCACGGTTCCCGTGGGATAGGTTAGTATTTGCTAGAGGCGAACCCGAGTGAAGCGAGAATGAGCCGCTAGTATATAATATTATATTCTTTCCGTATATGATATTCTATAAAAATATGAATGTAATATGCCTAACATACCTTATTTATTAATTATTGATTTGTTTTAATTTAATTGCGATATTTGCCAAAGAAATTTCACTTCTACCGTGAGTTAATTGCATACACACACTGTAGTATTTGCATAAAATATAAGTAAACACTGTTTAGCTTGTTTAGTCACCAGTATGCAATTGCAGGATTAACACGTCCGTCCCATCGTACCGTACCGCCTCAGCTCTGCCTCTTACGTAACTGTCAAGTGTCAATCCCCAACCCGTGTACCCGAGACAACTCATTATAGATTAAATACACAAACACTACACACACCTTTGTTTTATTTTTAAATTATATTAAGAATGAGAAAACATCCATTTTATCTGAGATACCTACTAAAATTCCACTTTTTTTATTGTGACCTTTCTGTATTTCATATACATACTGACTATGTGATATTTGTTACAATATTGGGAATATAAAAGCCAAATTATGAAAAATCGCATTATTACATTAAAAATGTTAAAAAACATCTATCTAAATTAAATAACCATATATACTTACTCCTTTTCATTTTCATGCTATATGGAAGAAAGAAAATTATTTCCTGCTAAGTTCAGTTGGCTTATTTCTTTCTTGACATATTTTTTTCTTATTCAAATGAATATATATAAAATTCCATCTGAGTCGAATCTGTTCATTAAATATTTTTGGAAAATCTTATCGAAATAGTCATTATTATCAATACAGAGGCCGAATCTATAGTTTATATTATTTAGAATTTCTGTCTGTATGTGTGTCTGTCTGCCTGTCTGTGACCGCATCACGGAAAAACCACTGGAGGGATTTTGATGAAATTTGGTATTATGATAGCTGGTTATCCGGGTCAATATATACTCGTAGGATACTTTTTACTGCGGGGAAGTATGTCATCGATGAGAAATCAAAAGCCGAGCGGAGCGAGGGTATATTATAAATTATTTATTAAATAAATATTAAATGTATAACCTTGACATTAAACACAAAGTATTTATTGAAAAATATGTAAAATACAACCTTGACTAACAACATATCATGTTTACATAGAGAGCTTATATAATTTAATGATCACTACCTAACACTACTACCTACCTACTAAAATAAAGTACATTTATTACTAATAATCAATTTGTTTCCAGAGAAAATGTTGTATTAATGCTCGAAACAAAACAAGGCCATGTCAATTTTTCCAATTTTAGAAATTAAAAAGTTATTAATCTCACTACAATACCTATGACAACTTTATTAAGGTTCCGTAATCAACAAGGAACCCTTATAGTTTCGTCATGTCCACCGGTCCGTCTGCCCGCAGCTTAGCTCAGACACTCTAAGTATTAGAAAGCTGTAATTCTGCATGGATATACATTTTTTTAGGCTACCTCTACTTGACATGACATAAAGTGATGTTTTTTTCCCTTGAAGGTGTATACCTAGATGTGGGGTATCGTTGGATAGGTCTTTCAAATTTAGCAGGTTTGTGAAAAAAAATTCTATTAAGGGATCCGTTTGTGAAATATTACCCTTTAAAGTGCTAATTTTTGTTAAAGACAAGTATACTCCCCATAGTATATGTGTAATATTCGATCAACTTACAAAATGCATCTACTTGGAGAAGTAAAAATTTCAGGTAGTAAATATAAGTTTATGAACTACGAGTATGTAAAAATATACAAAAATAACATCATAACATCCATACAAAAAGCTTTCTTCTCAGTCCGCATTATTGTGATGGGCAACTACGGAACCCTACGTTGTTCTTCTCATTCTAACGTGATATCTGTGTCCAACTGGACTTGATCTTAGCAAACCGCGGTATCTAGCGGTCGTAGCAAAAAATCATCATTCAAGAGCTGTCTGCTCTCAGGATTAGTCTATGTTTGTGTTGAAACTTTATCAAAATGGGTCGTTTATTGAGGTTTGCGATTGTTTTGTTACTAGCAGAGACCATGGTCAATTTTAGGGTGTACGCCAGAGCCATATCTACAGTTGCGAAGTCGTTTGAAGCCAATGCCGTGGTTCCTGATGTCGTGCCCAAAGCTCCTAGCGATAGGATTTCGGTGAGTAGAATTCTTTTACTTTTCCCTTAAACTGGTGAATTTTTCAAGTGACACTATCGGTTGGTGCAAGAAATATCGTGTATTTTATAAAATTGTAGCGGGTTTTACTGTCTTAAAAAAATCACTCAGATTTCGACATCTACGGTCACTTGAAAAATCCAACGTAGTTAAGTGTTGAAAGGATTTGAACATAAACAGTTAATAATTACAATAAAGGCCTGAATTCTAAAAGACTCAAATCTCACAAAAAATGCTTTATTCCAATTTGCTTTGTTATCAAAAATTATTTTTATATCCCGTTATTGCAAATCTTACCGTGAAAGAATTTTAGTTCAATTGGTTGCAAATATCTGCATTAAAAGTCAGTTGTAATGTTTGACCCGAACAAACATACATATGTATAAACATGGCAAGTTAAATAAGAGCTTGTAAAAAGATTCCTGCCCTTAAATGACGTTTAGGGAATTTTAGCATTGTATTTATGTTAAGGTATTTTTTCTTATCTATAAAAATGAATCGCTAAATGTGTTGCTAAGCGCAAACTCGAGAGCAGCTGAACCGATTTCGCTAATTCTTTTATTAGAATATTCCTTGAAGTACGAGGATGGTTCTTACGGAGAAAAAAAATTACCTGAAGAAGTCTAAAAACAACACTTTTCTATACTCCCATACAAAAGATTCTTAATAATACTTAAAAGTCAATTTGAACTTTAATACCATACCACAAAGTTTAAGTGTTAGTGGATAGCTATAGCTAACGCTGGCTAATAAATATTTATATCTATTTAAAACGTACCTAGCGACAAATCCGAGCGAAGCGAGGGTGAGTCGCTAGTTTCATATAGATCAAGTCCTCAAACCAACAAATGATTATTGTGCAAAAATCATACTGATCTGTTGCTTGATATTTCTTTAGACTTTTTAAGACCTACATTTACTAGTACATTGTTTGGATATATCTGTTAAGGTTTACCCAGCATTAGCCATTTCAAAGGACAGCTCGGCAGAATCAGTTATGATGTTTCCTCGAGGGAATGAAAGATTTTCCTGTAAAAAAAGGTATCCTAAATGTTGACCTGAGTAAGAAAGGTATCAATCACTACACAAAATTTAATTAAAATCAGTTTAGTACTTCTTGCGTGAACTGCACACATATATACAGACATAAAGACAACCACAAAAGTTTTAATAACTACTATATAAAGGTCCATATTCTGCACACATTACGTTAAATATTTAATGTACAGATTTCACTAAGTTATACTGTTTTATTATATGTATAGATAGTAATAGTATAATTTAGAAGTAAAACCTAAAAAAGTTATAACAAATGAGATATTTTATAAATTATATTTATATATATAGTTATGTATTTTTCTTATTCAGCTTACATATCCTAGTGGTGTCGTAGCTCAACTGGGCAACGAACTTGCTCCTACCAATGTGAAGGACCAACCTAACGTCTCCTATGAAGCTGATCCAAACTCGTATTACACTCTTATTTTTACTGGTGAGTGTGAAAAATCTATGTACTAAATCAGTAGAATCTTAAAAATGTGATTTTTAGGGTCGATGCCTGCAGATATTTATAGTAATTAAAAAAAAGGATTAATTTTTGTTCCAAGATCCTGACAACTACGACGGACCTGAGAAAGTGTACAGAGAATGGCACCACTGGCTCGTCGTAAACATTCCCGGAACTGATGTGTCCAAAGGCGAAGTACTTTCTCCTTACATCGGCTCCGGACCTCCGGATGGCACTGGCATTCATCGCTACGTATACATTTTGTATAAACAACCTGGCAAGCTCAGCTTCGATGAGAAGAAGCTGACTAACAAGTAAGATACAAAATCTTTAATGTAAAATTAATATATAATATAGGTAACTATTCTATGTAGGTGGTTTCGTCTGACTGTGTGTTTGCTATTTTTTACGGGTAAAACATAGATCTATATTTTTGGGGCATGTACAATAAATAAAACAAAAGGCGACAGAATTTTGTAAGGAAATGCGCCATTATCTAAAATGACTTAAAGTATAGTAAAATATAAAATACTGTAACTATATCACTCATTCCTTTCAAATACTAAAAATGTACTAAATACAATTTAGGAAAAAAACTTTAATAGTCTTATTTTAAACCAAAACTGAATTTTGACGCAAAGTTTAATTAATCACTTCTTTTAAACGAAAAATTATATTTTTCTAGATCAATCGACGGTCGCGCAGCTTTTTCTACTGCGAAATTCGCAGAAAAATACAACCTAGGAAATCCTGTTGCTGGCAATTTCTACCGCGCGCAATTCGACGACTATGTACCTCTTCTATACAAGAGTTTGGGAGTTTAAATTATTATTATTTGAATAAATAATAATTAATAATTATTTTTTTTATATATTTTTTTATTTGTGAACAGTATCTTTACATATTAAAAATACATAATATTTATCGTATGTTATGTTTGTATGATATTATGTACCTACTAACATAATTATAAATTTTAAAAAACCCCTACGCAAATTCATTGTCATTTAATGATTACACTGGCACGCGTGAAGCACTTAATCGAGTAATCATACGCCAAAATGCCTTACATCATTTTGGAATAGAGCTGATACTCTTACACTGCTGGACCGATTTTAACCAAACATAGGTAAGAACCACCGCAAGGAAACTGGCTTTCAAATGAAAAAAAACCGCATCGAAATCGGTCCATCCGTTTGAAAGCTACGATGTCACAGACAGACACACACACATAGACAGACATCGACGTCAAACTTATAACACCCTTCTTTTTACTTCGGGGGTCAAAAATGGAAATCGCTATACCCTTGAATATAACTTTGAATGATCTAAGTCTGTAATAGATTTCGTCACCATTACTTAATGGTTCTAGATGATTTTTGTAAATAGAATTTGAAAAAAAGAATTGTACTATTTATTGATTTTTAACCAACTCCTCAAAACGAGGTTTCAATTGGGGCGTTTATTTTTTGTGTGTTTATTTTTTGTACGCGTGGTTTTCGTGTATTGTGAACCGAATTTAAGAATTCTTTTTCATGGAAGGGTTTAAAAAAATATACGCTGAGGCTGTATAGGGGTATATATACTCTAGAATATAGATGACATTATCAAGACAGCGTAATTTTTAACCGACTTACAAAAAGGAGGAGGTTCTCAATTCGTGGGAATCTTTTTTTTTATATATGTTCACCGATTACTTGAAGACGCCTGTACAGATTTGGATATTATTTGTTTCAAAGGGTTGTCCCATATACATTTTATCGAAATCGGTCGAGCGGTTTAAAAAAAAAATCAACAATAAATATATTTTTTAAATAAATTGTTTAATCGAATAATATGTTATTATAAAACTTTCTTCTTAAAAATTTACCTGTTTATTACGTCTACACTAAAAATGTAAAAATAAAAACTTTTTAAAAAAAAAACCAACTTCCAGGCACTCAAATGGAAAAAAATAGCTAAACGGAGGTTTTCATTTAGAATAGATCTACCTAAGCACATATTTTCGAAATCGGTGCCAGCCGACAATATTTTAAGATATGAATATCTAATAGGTAAATATGTATTTTACGTATCGAAATATATTAGATATTTTCGAATGCTTTGCATCGGCTGGCAATATGTAAGTATAGTTCAATAAATATTTTATACTGTAATACATACTTACATCAAAATTGTCTTCACAGACGTAAATCATTCATTTTAAGCATTTGTTTTTCTAATCTCGCCTTGCCAGATTTATCATGAGGCACAGGTATAAACAATTTCTCAGGTGTCTTATTGGTATTATTTTCACATAAGGGCACTGAACAATACTAATAATACTTAATTTCACTCATTTTCGATATTCTTGTTCCATTTTCGATTAATAATTTATCGATCGAGCCCACATTTTACGGAATATAATCGAGCCATTACAGTCTACACACGCTCTCTGTATGATAAGTGACGTCACGCTCGACGATTGTTAAAAGAGTGGCGTTTTAGCGCCAAATTCAAAAGTAAAAAATAATTTTCGATTTTTTAACGTAATAATACAGTAATTTCTGCGGGAAAATATTTTTAGCAGCATTTTATTTATGTAAACAAAATAGGCTGAGATACTTTTCATAAAACAGTCCAAGACCCAATTCTTATTACGATCCTTAGTATTGTCATGCCTTATGTGTTTTTTTTCAATTTTGCTAATAGTAGTTAAAAGTTTATTTTAGAGGTCTGTGAAAACAGAAGAAAATAAAATGTCCAGGTTTTTTTTAAAGACTTTTATTTACTACTTTGCATGTTTAGGTACTTGAGTTTTACGTTACAGCTCAACTAATTTTAGTAACCACAAACTACAATGTTATTGTCTTAAGTACATAAATAGATTTTTTATCTTAAATACACACGTCTAAAGAATAAATAGACACTGTTTCGTAAGAAAAATTAAAACTTTTTTCGAATATCAAATAGTAAGTAGTCCTATTTGGAATAGGGCGGTAGGTACACTTCTTTCATGAAGTTACCTGCAACAGGTCCGGTAAGGTTGTGTTTCTCCTGGAATCCTATTATGTCGAAATGTGGCCGATTGAAAATTACACTGAAAAAAATCATTATGTATATTTATCAATAATATCTTCTCTAAATTACCGCTTTCGGTTAGGTAGTAATATAAGACTAACATACTGTTCACAATATGCTATAATGTATAACAATGTTGTATGTGTGAGAACGGTCTCAACTCCTGCTTTCCTACTGGAGGGAGATCAGACTCAACACAAAAAACACATGTTTTCATCAAGATTTACAAATGTAAAACAAAAACAATTTTTTCTTTGGGAACCGTATATTTTTACGGGATAAAAAGTAACCTATGTGCTATTCTAGACTAATCTATCTCTGTGCTTTTCATCTAGAAACGTTTAGCCGTTCTGGCGTGATTGAGTAACAAACATCCATCCAAACTTTCGCATTTATATTAGTAATGGGATTACTGCCAACTTCCAAATCTCGTTTTTATATTTTTCTAAGAATTTCTTGTAAAGATTACCTATATAATTTTATAGTATGATATATAAGTATCTTACCTTAAATATTCAAGTTTCTTGGCATCAATACTTTCACTTTGTTTGAAAAGAAGGAAGATATAATTAAAGCCTCCTGGATATGGCGTCGGTGGAAAATATGTAGAGACTGTTTTACCTTCTTTCAAAGATGTACCGGGAATGTTTACAATCATCCAATGTAGGAATTGAGTGTATGGCGGGGTTATGTCTGGGGGTAGATCAGGACCTGTAAAATATCATTTATGGTAAGAACACACTATTAAAAATATCTGCCCGATGTCAACATTTATTTTAAATTACGGAAATACACTAAAGACTCTTTTTCTTACAGAGATACTACGAACTGCTTAATATATCTCAACCACACAAATATCTACCCTGTACGAGAATCGAATTCACTATCTCCATTGAGATTACCAGTAAAAATATAATCAAGTATATTATTATTATTATTTTCTTTAAGCTTACCGAAAAAAACTATTGTATGAAGCTCGTCATCTTTAGCATTAAAGGTCACATCCGGTTTTGTTAGAGTTTGAAACGGATGAACTCTGTTTCCCAGATTAATTTCTACTCGTGAATACTTTACCTAATAACAATATTATATTAGAAATCATTTATTTATTTTTTTCAAAAAATTAACTGTGTTTAAACTTGACTAATTTGTTATAAGTTGGTTTGGTTCTTACTAAAGTATCATCTCAATTATAATTAATCATCAATTACAATTACAAATACTGTATTAGGATATGTTCTGAATAACAAAAAAATCACAAAATTCTGATGCTGTGGCATTGTCTTAGTTCTTAAATAGCAAAGATGTATCTATCATCCAAGGGACTGAATACTTCACATACTATTAAAAATAGAATATTATTCACAGCTATGACTCATTTTACATTAGTAATGTATCTTATATTGTGTTAATTTAATTGTTTGTAACACCACAGTCCTCAGTAATATATCTCCATGCGTTTTGTAATTATAAAAACTTACGTGAATTAAATCTTCTGGCGCATTTTTAATAATATTTGGTACTATTTTGTTCTCAATAAATGCTTCTGAAACGTTAGAAGCAGCTATTCCACAGCAGGAGACAGTTAGTACGACCAACCAGATAGAAAACATATTTTACTGAAAAAAAAAATAAGAAAATGTAGACATTATACGAGTACATTTATACATATAACGTTATGATAGAAGGAGGGACCTATATTTTAAAATATGGACCTTTTAATAGGGAATAATTTTTTTTTGGAGTCTATGACGTTTTTGGCGATGGTTGGAATGTAGTTGTCGAAAAAAAATTATATTTATAATTTAACCTAATATATAGATTCTGAATGAATTTGGTTGAATTGTTTTTTGTATTACATATCTACTTATCGATTGATTTTAATGATTCTTTTTAATTATCTATAGGTATGTACTACCTAATATTATAAAGAGGTAAGGTTTGTGAGTTTGTGAGGTGTTGAGGTTGTGAGTTTGTGACGTTGTAGGGGGTAATCTCTGCCCCCCCAACGTGCGTTCACCTTGTCGTGGTGGGGGGGCTCAGTAGTGCCCGGCAACCCAACCTGGCGCGAAGCCCAGAAACGCACAGGGAAGTGACCCACTTCGGTGGGCGGTGGGAGGTGGCCATCTTCGGAGGGCAGTGTACCATGCGGGTTGCTCCTGGTACTTCTCTGATAGCAGAGTGGACTGTGGAGCAACCCCGTGGTTGTTGTGGTCTGCTTTGGCAGACCTGCCGTCGGGGCGTCATAGTTGAATGCGTAAGCGATCCTGCGACGCCCCATTAAGACGGGGGAAGGCTTTGTTGGGTTTTAGTGGGTAGTACTGGCTTTGCCGGTGAGTCCCACACCTCGTGCGTAAATGCATTTCCCAATGTTAAAAAAAAAGGGGGTAATCTCTGCATCTACTGCACCGATTTAGATAAAATTTGGTAAGAAGATAGTTTGAGATCCGGGGAAGGTCATAGGATACTTTTTATCCCGGAAATCATCATTAAAGGCGGTGAAAATGGTGATGAACGTTTGTATGGGCAATCAACCTTGGAACGAACCCGAGCGAAGCGAGGGTGAGTCGTATGTAATAAAATTGTAACTTTACCGAATCTGTACTTTAAATATTTATCGGATAATCTTTTTTGAAATAGTCATTATCGATACAGAGGCCGAATCTATAGTTTTTAGATTTTTTGTCTGTCTGTCTATACCTGGGGAACGTATCACGAAAAAACCACTGGACAGATTTGATAAAATTCAGTTTGGTGATAGCTGATATAAAATAAATTATAAAATTAAAATAATAAAAAATACTTACATTCACAAGAACTTAGAAACAAACCTCCACGATTTTGGAAGTCGATTAATAAAATGACCATTATAATTAGGTATTAAAAATAATATAACAGAGTCATACCACTTTTTAGTCCAGTTTCTATAATAGCAGTCAGATACACGAATTAAATTATTAATACTGTCGATTGGTATTTGCGGTATTTGCTACGTTTTGTCTACGCAGCGACGACGCACAATGTCGTGTAATTACAACGGCTGCGTTTGATATATAATTTCCATTTTATATATATATAATTATTTTATCAAATATACCTATATTTGTCGTAATTAACCTAGTTACGAAAGTGAAGGAAAACATCGTCAAGGAAAAGTAACAAACATCTAATCGTCTTCACAAGTCAAGTTTTTTAGCTTAGATGTAAATAATAATATTATGAGGGTTTCATCGACCGCTTTTTATGTTGTATGAGTAAAATTAAATTTACGTAAAATTTTAATATAACGGTAGATTTTAGGTTTCCGTACGAGACTCTATTACTAACATATACCTCCGCTGTCCGTCCGTCTGTCTGTCAGCGGGCTGTATATCATGAAACGTTGAAAATTTCTGTGTGTATTTCTATTGCCGCTATAACATCAAATAATAAAAAGCGAAGATGGCAAATTTCAAAATGGACGGGTTGAAAATTAAAAAAATATATAGTTTTTTTATATACTCGTATATATATATATATATATATATATATATATATATATTTTTATATACTCGTATTTATATACTCGTATATATACCTACTGATAGCAGTATAGTGTTATATCTTGTACGATAGTACGGAACTCTTCGTGCGCGAGTCCGACTCGTACTTGACCGGCTTTATTGTTTTTGTTATTTTTTTACAATCATGCAAACACTTTTAGAGTTTTGCAATCTATTACCTCATTTTATTTATTTTTTACGTTATCACAAAATCTTTAATTAGGAGCTAAGCTCAAATTATCTGATAAAATTTATCATAACTAGGTAAAAATTTCGGCCCTTCTTAAAAAACTATCTACTTATACCTATGTATATACATGTAGTCCAATCGGAATCCGGTTTGGAAACAAAATATTGAAAATCTGAAATGAAGTTATTATTCTAAAATGTTAGCAGGTATATAAGGAATAGAACTTCGTAAAATGCCCGCCATGCCCAACCACCCCCGAGATATGGGGGGACGCAAAGCGTTGAAAAATAGTTTTTTTCACTAATCTCAAAGTTTTCAAGATATTTGCAGAAACATCGGTTTTTAACTTTTTCTTGGTTTTTTATTTTGAATTTCTAGAATAATCTATTGATTTTCATGAAACTAAGGGAATATAATCTTCAAAATACATATAATAAATAAAAAAAATTGATATTGAAATATGTAGCCATTACCGAGAAAATTATGTTTTATGGTCTCGAGAGGCTGAAAATCACCCTCAACTTCAAGTGGATGTTTACATTTAAAAAAAATCGTTCAATTTTCAGATAGGGTTCATTTTTTTCGTTTTGCACTCTACTTTTTAAAGAAATAGAACCTTTTCAATGATTATTTTAAAAAATGTTGTTAACAAAATAAAAATTATCATTTTCTCCAGTTTTTTTTTAATTTTAAGGGTGTTTTTACAGGACGATCATACAACATTTTTGTTTATTCTTTTTAAACCAACGTTTTTAAAACATAAAACTTCAGGTTTTAATCTTTTGTATAGCATAGCGCATATTTAAATTAAAGAAAAACTAAATAACGAATAAAAACTTCAGTTGTCGAATTAGATACTTAAAAAAATAATATTGTATTAATCATTCTTTTCTCAAACTTCTTAAAAAAAGTATATTTGGCTTTGGGAGGAGTCAAGACCCCCATGAACCCCTCCCTGGATCCGCGCTTAAGAAACATATTTTTTAAAAAAATTGCCTGTCTGTCTGTTTGTTCTGGCTAATCTTCGAAACTGACTGGACTTTCACTGGCAAAGTAACTTACTCGAACGCTACTGCCTACTTTTATTTTAAAGTAGCGGCTCACCCTCGCTTCCTCGCACAATAATAATTTACACATTACAGCAATAAAGTATTAAGTGATAAGACTGTTGTACTTATTTACTATCTACGAGCCAGTGTACGGCTGAAAAATTTATAAAAATTCATGTTTAAGTGTTTAGGTAACATTTATTCATTATAGAGGAAAATAATGTAGAGGATTTTATTATTTTAGAAGTTGCACGATTGAAATTGACAACCAAATGAGAGCGTAAATACGACAGCGAATTCCGCGAGTATAACTTCATACAACTGCATGTATGAACTTATACATATATACAGTTGTCGAGTTTTAAAGAGCTGAACTATTTTTAAAGATATCTTATTAAATTAAAATGGCGTCATAATAATAGTTATTCTAACGGATAGTTCTCACTTCATGGCCATAAAATGCTATAACTTTTGTTCTTGGAAACGTATAAATGTATCTCGTGACCCACTAAGTGTAGATGATGATTTTAATGCGAAGTGTGCGCACAGACACCAGTACCTACACTCTCAATTCTTGTCACTCTCATACTCCGGTGGGACGACAATTAGACACGACCGCAAGAATGGAGAAGATACAAATTCTAAATCTCATGTTCTTTTATACATACATGCCAAGAGACGGAACTACAGTGTTTTACCGTCGAAACCGTTCTCCTTGAAAATTGATTTTACACGCCTTGAATTTGATAGCATTTTCGTTAAAATCAATGGACATCGATCAAAAGTGACCTACTATATACACATTTCCATGCAAAAGTTCTTTTAAAACTGTCACAAATTGTGTTTAGCTAATTATTGTAGTTGAAATAAATATACAACAGAGTAAATTGAACCATAAAGAGTCGTGGTAGGAAAAAGTACTTTTCGGATGGACCAAATTGATCAGTGACCAAGTCATTAATTATTACGTATTATTTCTGTAAATATTTTTTTGCCTGGATAGATGAACATATAGATACCCTTGATCGAAAAGTTACCGAACTAGTTTTTATAAAAAAGGTTTAGCATAGTATAGATAGACTATAATATATCATATATTATATATAGATAGCCTTATGCCTTCCTCAATTATCTGGTTATCTAATGCAAAGAGATTAGCGCGTTCAAACAAACAAACTACCTCTTTATAATATTAGTATAGATTTATGGACCAAACAGACTATTTCGAAACAAAAAATATTTCGAGTCGATTAATCGTTTTTCCGTGCAAAATGTATGGAAAAAGTTTTTGGTGATTTCTGTAATTTCTAGTACTTATACCTTAAATGGTCGCATAGACTCTTTTTATCCCTATATGAAATAGGATTGATTGACACAAAAACATTTTTTTGGCATTTTAGATTTTTTTTTGCTGACTGTAGGTATATTTCGTTCAAAAATCTGTGAATGTAGTTCACAATATCTCAAAAAGTTATGGATTATTTCCTAGGACCGTTTTCCTGTAACTATAACAGTTAAGGTACCTGTTCTTACTGTCCCGTCTCAAAAATCCACCCCGTGTATGTATGTATAATTTTGTTATTCATTATAGTAAAAAAAAACAAAATTTTTGTGCAAGTACTAAATTCCATAGAAAACAAAGAAAAATAAGTTAATATAATAAAATATCAGTTATAAGGAGAAAAAAACCATTTATTTGCACAGTAAGTCTTCCAATTTTTAGAATATCCACTTATTTCTTACATTAATATAACACTATACCAATTAACTCTACATAGAGCGCCTAATTCTCTTTTTTTAAAACAATTATATAAAATTTCATCAAATTTTGAATTATAAACAAATTAAATAAAAGAAGACATACTATTTTAGGGAAAATGAAAAAAAAATCAGTTTCTGGATTAAGATATTACACGGTTCACTTTGGCATTTAAATAAAATAGATAATCAAATTAATTTTATGAATGTTTAATCCCTCCACGACCGCGGACACGCCGGCGTGTCAGTTAACAATAGATTTCTTAGAATTTTAATTAATTTCTTAGAAATTTACCTCGATGTGCTAATACCATAACAAAGTCGAGCAAACAACCCATTGGCAAACAATTGGATGGATGACCATTTTCACCAATTGAACTTTTTTAACGTTTATAAAGTCTTTCGATTGGAATGTAATAAATATTATATTTTGAGAATTGAACATATTAATATCCCACGAGAATCCCTTGATGGACCGAGATACGAAATAGTAAAGATCATGAAAAATATAGACAAAGATTCCAATCTCCATAAGGTTTCATAGGAGAAATCCGACCCCAAAATGCTTAGAGTTCCAGAAATTGCCTCAAGTAGATGATTTACTAAGTTACCAGGTAATATAGTATGTCAGTAGCGCGAAGTTAATTAATTGAAAATTGAATTCACGCTATAATAATTACACATCTTTCTTTAATACTTAGTTATTTTGAACAGTTTCCTTTTCTCTCTTACTCTTGGGATATAGCGACCGTTATTTGCGCGCCCTCTATTATTTTTTCAAATTTTTGGGACAATTTTTACATAAAGATTGAACTTCTTGTCTACATTCTCCATAGTAAATAAACTAACGCCATCTTGAGTCACAAATACATCAATAGTGACATTATCCTGTCTTTAAATTGACTATTCAAAAGAAAAAAAATCTCATTGAATAATATAATTTGATTTAATTTCAAATATGAAATTGAATCAAAAATCAATCAATTACTAGTAGTAGGTATAAAAAGTTTCGAGGCTTATGTACCTTTTCCCAAAACGGAACCGTGTATTATCTATCAAGTTATACAATAATAAAACATATTATGACGCTCGCAGCACAAAAATGGCCTAAATTTAATATGGACGTAAATATTGTAAGTAAAAAGTGTTTTAAAGCTATTGCTCACATAAACGGATTCGCATCGTCGTCTTATCTTTCAACACGTTCATTGTCAAGCTGTAAATTGGGATTTCGTAGGGTGCACACAACGATATCACGTGATTTGCAGTGAACGTGTTAAAAATCAAATAACCTACATTAAAATATGATGAAAATGTTTTAAGTTTGGAGCAGCATTAGTTTTCAGACGTTAAATAATATTGTTTGACGAATTAAGCTATAAAAAATCCTATACATAAAAGTTAGATCATATTTGCGCTGAAAGATTTATATTTTATACAGAAAACAGTATATAGGCTCTAAAATATTATGAATATGTTGTTAAATTATCCACTTGAAAGGGATATATTGTGAGCAAGTTATGCCCCCAATTGTTTGTACAGAATTGGCACGTAATCGTCATACTGCGCTTGGTAGAAATTTCCAGCAATGGGATCACCTAAATTGTACTTTTTAGCGAACTTCGCAATAGAAAACCCTCCACGGTTGTCGCCAGAACTGGAAAACGACATATTATTATTATACACAATATACATATATGCACACAGACACAGATACTCACACATATATATTATCCTAACGACTCACCCTCGCTTCGCTCGGGTTCGTCCCTAGGTACATTTTAACGGTTAGTATGAAATACAAATCTTCTAATTTCTCGGTTTTTCTGTACTATAATATGCATGTATTATACATATAAACCTTCCTCTTGAATCACTATCTATTGCTGAAAACTGCATTAAAATCCGTTGAGTAGTTAAAAAGATCTAAGCGAACAAACAGCGGAAGCGACTTCATTTTATACTATGTAAAGATAATATCACCTTAGTCATCATCTCAGTGCTTATTTATCGAAACGGTCAATTTACCGAAAGAGTTTTAATACAGAATTATTGACTATTAAATGTCAATTCTATTATTATCAAATACACATTTTACTTTAAAAAACCGCGTAGATGTATTTTATCTACATATTATATACATCTTATAAATAAAGATTTGTTTTTAAAATAGAGAAAAAACAACTCTAGTATTAAGTACAAGAAGTATTGATAGTTTGAATAAATAATCACTATGCCGATGATATATATTTATATGAAAGGCCGAAGAGCTGATTTCTCAGTTGTCAAAAAAACTCATTCGTAAGTAGGTATATAAAACAGCATATGATAGTATGTCATGGGTCATTTTTTTGTCCAGTGTGACTATTATCAAGAAAATTTGATAATTCATCAAATATGTAAGTAGCGCTGTTTCAGAAACTTTATTAATACCGAGACAAAATGAGATGATAAAGACTTAATAATATACATAAAAAAATGGCGGTCGTATAATATAAGATTTCAGTTTCACTACAATTAAATTGGTCTGAATCGGGAATCGAACCCAGGGTCTACCAGACCATAGTCGTACATTCTAACTACTAAGTACAAAGAACGGGGAAGTAAAGTATACCCATCCAAAGTTAGCCCTAGCTTTGATACATACAGGATAAAGGGCTCCTTGTGAATGAACAGATTTTGGCACTGACAATATGCAAAGTAAAGTCGACAGCACTAAAAACCGACAAAATCGAATTTCTTAATAACAATTGTCAAAAAAACTCATGCTAAGTCGACATAGAGAGTGGACTGAGTGTTCCTTTGCCAGCCATCAGCTGAAAATGGCGGAAAGGCGCGACAGAGATAAAACGAATGTGCGGCCGAAGTCTTCTGTATTAATTGAAATACGATTTATGAAGATAAATATGCATAACCATTTTCCATTCCATTATAATATTATATTTTTTTTACATTCCATTTATAAATTCAAATTGTAATAAAAGACAGGTATTGGGCGCACGATCGCTTTCTCTCTTTCTAGAGAGTGGTCAATTTCAAGACAGTATTGACAGTGTGACAGTCCATTCTCTGCGTCTATGACATAGGCCCACGTAGAGTTCATAAATTAAGGCAGCTGAAACTCACGTGTTAGTTAAACGTGGTTCATCGAAAGACAGTTTCCCTGGCTGTTTGTATACCAAGTACACGTATCTATGCAGACCAGTGCCGGGGGGTGGCCCAGAACCGATATAAGCTGAAAGGGTATCCCCCGTCGCAACGCTGTTCCCTTGGATGTTACCAACTAACCAGTGATGCCATTCACGGAATTTAGGCTCTTGACGAGATGGCGCGTCTGGGTCTAGATAGGAAAAATATATTAAAAAAAATTTTTCTACGATTCGAGTGTATTTTTTTTGGTTTAAAATACGCTATATCCTCAATTATGAACGGGCTGTGAATCGATTTTTTTTATGAAGGGTTATAGGTACCTCGAGTGTGTGCCTGGGAATATTATTTTTGAGATTTGGTTAATTGAATTTTCTTAAAAGGTAACGTATTACAACAATGTTAAAAGATTCACAAAATGTCATTAAAAATAAACGAAATAAACTAAATTTTAAAGATAGCTGATTATTTTAAAAGAATAATCAAAAACTCTGTCTAATCTATAAAATATAGCGTTACATTCATTCTTTGGCTTAAAGATTGATTCTTAGTCTCAACAAATAAAAAAAAACAAACAACTTCACACGCTTCTAAAGTCAAACGGATCTGATATGTCAAATTACTTACCAGTCATAGCGAGCACGTAGTAGGCATCAGGTTGCGCTTCCCATTGGACCAATGGTACATCCTTCACTTGAGTGGGAGTCAGTTCATTTCCTTCGTTTACTTCCACGCCACTTGGATACACCACCTGTAATAATGAAAAAGAAAAATTTATCAAACAATCAAAAGATATTCCCAGAACTTTCTTATTTATTTAACTAGCTTTTTGCTCTGCTTAGGTTTTAAGACTATTCTAAAATTATTATAATAACGTTCATTAGTACTTAAAAGCAGTACGACAATCATAGACCTTTAATATTTTAAATTCACGACAGACACTGGAAGGTTATTGCATTCTGCGTTGAACCTGTACTTACGATTTTTTAATTTAATAGATTCTTAAAATATAATTAACGTTATGTATGAAATTGTATATGGTGTAAATGATTTCTAGCATATTATATCTTGCACACACGCACTCTTTAATCGCCCATGACGGTCTGGCATAAATTTGACTAAATTTGGTAATATTATATAAATATAGATCAATACATTTTGGAAGTAAATAGATTTCCCGCAATGGTTTTTTTCGGAACTCTCCATTCTCCATATTTTGATTTATACTATAAAAGTAGATAGAATCGTTCGGAGCATCGTCTGCAACTTGTTTATAAAACTTTGTGCGTGTGATTATACATTCAACACGAATTTACTAATTGAAAAATTACAATCGTGAGACTCGTATACTAAACGTAACCTTCCTCATTACTTTTAAAATAGCTTACGAGTGTATAAAGGTTATAACCGCGTAGTATTTATTAGTTCTGATTCGTACACCTTCCTTGCTTTAAATTCGAGACGGTTTAGACATGCTATTATTTATCTTTTCTTTCATTAGTATGTTTTTCTTTCCTGTTAAATATTTGTAATGGATTTTTCTCAAGCTGACCTTCAATAACGCTGTAACATTAGTTCTGGCTACTAGTTGTAGACAGTTCAATAATATGGCACTGCGGCTCCGGTTTGATGATGCAGCTAGGTGAATGGATAGGAATTCATCAACTAAACTTCATTGAAATCACCTTTGCTTTAAGCACCTCTTTCCGAATGCTTCTTACGTCGTGGTCGGAACTACGCAGGAGATGCCTCTACGTAACTACTATTTCATCAAAGCATCGCGCTAAAATTTCTAGACAGATCTTTTGTCCAGCTCCAGGTCTGGTTACGCTATAAAGGCCAGTAGTGCCAAAAGCAATTGTCATTACGAAAAAAATGCTTGAAGTAATCCCTAATTAAACCACGCGCGTTATAAGCTTTTTGGCACCGAAACAAAAAGTCCTATGTCACTACAAATCTATGTACCATCCTATTACTACTTTATTTTGTGAACTAGCGACTCATCCTCGCTTTGCTCGGATTCATCCCAACTATATCTTTTATTGTATATAGCCTATAACCTTCTTCAATGAACGGGCTATCTAATGCAAAAAGAATTTTTCAAATCGGATTATTAGTTCAACAACAACAAACAAACTATGCCTCTTTATAATATTAGTATAGATTAAAGATTCCTCCCTTAATTGACATTATACTTCATAGACTTAAAAAATCCATAGTTTTTTTTCTCTGTCATATAAGAAGCACTGTAACCTATAGGTACATCAAACACCTAAGTTTTCGAACTAGTGTTCTCAAACAAACAATAGGTCACGTTGAATAATTTGAGATAGTCTGAAACCCAGCTAAAAAGTATGTCATTTAAGGTGAACCTATTTTTTCTACGTCTTTATAACAGTATCATTATACACAAGGTTGAATCGAGGCCTCTATTTTGTAATTATATTCTTTAACATAATATATCATCTAAACATGTTTAATTTAACTGTAATAGCCACTATCATTTCCATTACGTAGCGAAAATTGTAAAGCTAATTTAAACAACAATGGTTTTAGTTGTTACGCATATTGAATGAAATTAAAAGCTCTAAAAAAGGACGAAACTATTACAAACTATAGTAAAATAATTTTGTAAATTGTTGTAGTTAAGTATGTTTGTATATTATGTGAACTAGTGCCTTGATGGTGTAGTAGCTAGCATGTACGGCTATACTTCTGAAGGTCCTGGGCGCGAGTACCGGATCGAGACAAGTTTAGTTATTCAGTCTTTCCGTTAAAAAAGTCCCAGTAACAATCTGGAGTTGGGAAGTTGGCGATGTTTCACCCCTGTGCTTCGGAGATCACGTAAAGTCGTCGGTCCTGCGCCTGATTTCTCATCGATCGTAGAATTATCATCCCATTGAAATTTGAGAATGAAACGACAAAAATGTCTACTGGTGTCTGAATTGGCTAATCTCATTGATATTGGCCGCCATGGAAATAGAATTGAGAACCCTTGAGCATTACTCAACGAGTACCGAAACTTTTTGCAATAAAGTAATTCCCCACACATGAACCAGGATAAAGAGTTGTCCTGATTGGAACCGTAATAAGCCTAGACTGCCATTGCACATGCAATTATATCTGCAGCTCGTCCTCGATCTCTCATTTCTTCATTATCAATAGATGTTGGTGCTTTGTTGAACAGAAAGTTATTCTCAAAAAAAATGTTTAAGGTCACACAACTTCATTCCGTAGTAATTCGAAAATTATTGATCGCACGAAGAAATGAGTAAGAAATAAAATGTAGAGACTTGGATAATGAACAATTTTAGCCTTGATGATTTTTCTCGAAAAATTGAAAATGGCCGAGATATTGAGGGAAAACGATTCCCCTTTAAAATCAAGAGCGGCTAACGCATCTCTCGAGTTTCGTCGCAATTTTAAATTTAAGTTCCCAGTGAACCCCTCCAAAAGGCTGGTGAAATAAAATTTTCCTAGAATTTTAGTATAGATAATAATTTAAGAACAGAATACATCATTTAAAAGGTGAAAAAAAAGCAATGTGACGAACGAATGAGGATTAATTGTTTTTAAAGTGATCTTGAAGTCGGTGTGGTGAACTTTTCCCAAGCGAGCACGTTACCACTACCACTCCCCCAAGTGTTTTATTATAGAAAAACGAAGAACCCTTCATCTTTCATGTAGGCAGACCAGATCAGTATAATTTTTGCACAACAATAATTTGTTGGTTTGAGGATTTGATCCATATGAAATACCTTAACATAAATACAATGCTAAAAGTTCCTAAACGCATTTAGGTAAAGGCAGGAATCTTATTACAAGCTTTTATTTAACCTGCAATGTTTGTATTTATGTTTGTTCGGGTCAAATTTTGCATACACGATATATATATATATATATATATATATATATATATATATATATATATATATTTATTACCGCGTGAAATTATCTCACTCCCAATGCCACGGGAAAACACGCTATAATACAACCCCATCATATATAGTTTATCTATTCCATACTAACCATTAAGCCGTACCGGACAAACCCGAGCGAAAAGAGGTCGAGTCGCTAGTGTAATAGTATACCTAAGTTATAAAAATGAAGATTTAGCAGAATTACACATGAAATATCAATAAATAGGAAAAGACAAGACAGTTAAGTACCTTTTTCTTCTCAATTTATCAACAGACTTCCTTTTTTTAGTGTTCCGTACCTCAAAAGGTAAAAAAGGAACCCTTAGGTATAAGATCACTCTCTTGTCTGTCTATCTGTCCGTGTGTCACCACCGATTTTCATAGAAACGGGTGGACCTAGCAAGTTGAAATTTATACCAAATACTGAGGTCTATAGTCCCTATTAAGTGTATAAAAATCAAGGTCCTGACTCCTGAGTCAACACGATAAAAAGATATGGGAAAATTTAGATTCTCGCGAAAACTTGTAAGTACCAAAATTTACCTTAATTTTCAACTTTATTATTTTTTGGAATTTTCCCTTTACTTGTGCTATAACCTTGCTTTTAACCAATATTGACAAGTCTAGATTAACCGAAAGTACCCTATAGGTCTTGGGTCAAAAACCTATATGGTAGAAATAAAGAAAAAAATCCAAAAAATAAAAAAAATGAAAATTTTGTTAAACAGATTTCCTATAAATTTGTAAGGAACCCTCGGTGGGCGAGTCCGACTCGCACTTGTCCGGAATTTTTCATACTTACTAGCTATTACGAACTTCAGTGTTATCAATAAAAATATAAAATTTTATTCATATTTATATGTTTTCATCACATTTTTAATAATGATTATGGCCGAATTTCAACCAAAAAGCTAGTAGGTAATTTTAAATTTTCTTGGTAAATGTAACCTTAACTTTGGTGCGTCATCCAAACAGTTAATTTACAAGTTATATTATAGAGTAAAGCAATAATCATATCTAATACTAAGTCATTTGAAATAATTATACAAAGAAGTTAAGGACGACTATAGCATAGTACCTACTAGATAAAGAAATTGCTAGAAATGAATAACACTTACCTACTATACGCAGATAAAATTATTTTTTCGGTTTTTTCGCAAATTCGCGAATTTATAAAAAAAATCGCAGGAAACTAATAAGATCATGATTGCTGTAAATCATTCAAAAGAACGGCAACCAAAAACCAAAATATATACGCGAAAAAAACCAAAAAAATAGTTTTATTTAAAATGTCGAATATTCGCGAAAGTATCTTCTTACTCAATATTGTAATTGTGTAAGTTTGTGAGGATGGGCGTTTGTTACTCTTCACGCCAGAACGGCTGAACGGATCTGGATGAAATTTAGCACACAGATTATAGTCTCGAATAACACATAGGTTACTTTTTATCGCGGAAAAATTTACGGTTCCCTTGGGATAAATTTGTTTTTTGCTAAGGACGAACCCGAAGCGAATCGAGGATGACTCACCAGTTATGAATAACAATTAAGATTTCAATGTCTAACTAAACCTATAACACCGATATCTACCAATTGGTATGAAATGAACCTTCTAAACGAAATACTTTCCAATAATTTGCATATAAACTTTATACGTATGTCACCATCGTTCCGTCATCAAATGTAAATACTGTTAATTTATGCGAAAATGTATGTGTGTATGTTTATTGTACCGTCACACTGAAACAGCTGAACAGGTTTGGATCAATTACATACAATGAAAATACACTGATAGAGTACCACGGGGGATAGAGTACCACCTGGAGTAATACATAGGCTACTTTTAGTACTAAAATTTATCAAGTCTCAGAAATATCTGAAATATTAAAAATACAAAAGACACAGGAAAGTACCTACTCGAGCGAAGTGATGGTAAGTAGCTAGTGTTTTATATTTATGTAGATGAATGCTATTTGCAATCGCTTTTTTCTTTCGCGATAAGATAGTGCAATAACATAACGGGATATAAAAACAATATTTGATAAAGAAGCGAATTGGAATAAAGCATTTCTCGTGAACTACATTTCAGAATTCAGGCCTTTATTGTTTACATTCAAATCCCATATAAACAAAAAAAATAAAACAAATTGTATAATTTCATTTGCAACATTTACGTTGGATTTTTCAAGTGACCGTCGATGTCGAAATCTGACTTGTAATCAAACCCGCTACAATTTTATAAAACAAACACGATATTTCTTGCAGCAACTGATAGTGTCACTTGAAAAATTCACCACTTTACGGGAAAAGTAAAAGAATTCTACTCACCGAAATCCTATCGCTAGGAGCTTTGGGCACGACATCTGGAACCACGGCATTGCTTTCAAACGACTTCGCAACTGTAGACATGGCTCTGGCGATCCCCCTAAAATTGACCATTGTCTCTGCTAGTAACAAAACAATCGCAAGTCTCAATAAACGACCCATTTTGATGAAGTTTCAACACAAACACAGACTAATCGTGAGAGCACACAGTTCTCGAATGACGATTATTCGCTACAACCGCTATATAAATATGAACCGGTTGGCGAAGATCTAGAACAGTCGGACACAGTTATCGCGTTAAAATGAGAAGAAAAATGAAGAGATCATAAGTATTATAGTGAGATTTATAATTTTTTTATTTATAAAATGTGAAAAAATTACTTGATTTTGTTTTGTTTCGAGCATTAATACACTATTTTATTGTAGTAGGTTAGGTAGTGATTATTAAATTATATAAGCTCTCTATGTAAACATGATATGTTGTTAGTTAAGGTTGTATTTTACATATTTTTCAATAGTTAATTTATAGTACATAAATATATGATATATATACAGAAGTATATTGTTAGACTTCATTTTATTTAAAAAAATAATGTTAAGAAAGAAATAAGCAAACTGAAGTTAGCAGGAATATAGATAAAACCTTTTTTTTTCTAAAAATAATATTTCTCGAGATATCGCGCGGTAAAATTACATGTAAGCTTCGATCAACAATACTATTTGACTACAGTAGTGTAATCAAAATATGAAATTTTAGTATCCCATATAAAAAGGATGTATTCTCATTTCTCATTCTTAATATAATTTAAAAAAAAACACTTTTGATTGCCAATGTACTTATCTCATTTGCTCAGTTCTTTAAGTGCTGAGATACTCAACAGAGTGGAAAGCAATTTGATATGTGAAGTTAATATATTATAATTTTTCTGTTAATGTTAAAAAAAATCATGCAAGATCTGGGGTGGTATGGAGGTCAAAGAGTACATTTTTTGCATTATTATGTCATGAAGAAAATCAATGGTTCATTAGATTTTTGAAACGAACGAAGTCTCTAATTCGTTAATGTGTGAACTTGACTAAATGATCAAAGTTGGCATTGTCGAGGATGTCAATACCTATCGATTTAACCCCGATCGATGTATGTTGAGCGATTTTTTATGGTTCTAAATTTGTTTGCTATTTAAAGAATAAATAGTGAATACCAGATTTCAGACTAAACTTTGTTAGTACGTACAAACAAACAATTCAGAATACAATAGTGGTTTGTTTTTCTAAAGTAGTCTAATAGCCTTTTTACTATTATAATAGTTTTTATTGGAATCTTTTAATAGTCCAAATATAAATTAAATATTGTGAATAACTTTGGCAATGTAGTTTTCATTTTTACGTTTACGAGTGTTTAATTTTTTTTACTCATGTAAAAACATATATAAACATATAGAAGAAAACTTCTATATGTTTTTCTAAATGTCCCTAATTCATCAAGAGCCACTATAAACAGTGCAGTTTGCTTTAAGTTTATTACTACTTACTTGTTTCAGTAAAATGTTAGTATTTTATATTTTTCCTTTTCTCCTTTTATTTATAATCTGATCACTTTTTATTCAAAATTGAAAAATTAAATAGAAAGTATCAAGTTCACAAACAGTTCTTAACATAATCATAAAACAAGTGTTATACTTATATAGCGACAATAAAAAAAAATATTACTTACATTAATTAATAATTACTTATATAAACTAAATAATAATCAACATTTTTCATTTTAGTAGGTAGATGTAATAATTCTTGAACTTTTGACTATAAGATTGTTCATATTATTACTAGCAAAACAAGAATAATAATATATAATAACAATAAAGATAAAAGATAGAAAATGGAAAAACTAAAACTAAGGTTTGAAATAAAAAAAATTCAAACGTTTTCAGGTATGAGCCATTCTGGATAAATCATATTTTTAGCGTTATCTTTTAAACAAATATATAGTTAATTAACTGTTGCAAACAAAAAAAACAGGCACAAGTTTACTATATGGGACGCGGCCCCTGACGGAGTTGGTGGTATTTTTGGATAGGGTAGGTGACAGGGAGCCCAAAAAACAGGCAATTAATAGTTTATAGCATGAAAAAGCATCATCAATAGATAAGCATTCATTTTATGGCAGAAATGAAGTACACTTAGTTTAAGTAAATATGTGTTATACTCTATAAATTAGTTGATATTAATGCTATGCGAGTTAATAACATTTAATCGAATCTAGTTTTTTCTTCAAGAAACAACTAGAAAGTTATCTAAAACAGGTTATGAAATTTGCAATATATCAGTAGTGCTAGGATTAAAACTTGAACCATATTGAAGTCTAGACTGTAGACCTCAATTGTACATGATTACATAAGTAGATAAAAATAAATATCTGTTGGAAATTGATAGGGTACCTACTAGTATTACATAGTTTAAATAAAATATAGGTTTCTACATACATTACGCATATACAAATCTTATTTAAAAAATACTTACTAGTATTTCTTATTTAGTAAGTAAATGATGTACCTTGTACCCTCTCAAAATTAAACAAATACAGAAAAAAGTAGGTAACAAAACCTGCAGTACTGTAAAATGTCGATCCGTTGCCGGTCTTTACCACAGATGACAGAACATAATATATAGTATATAACATATGTCAATTGTCAGGGATGTTAGATCAAGGAACATATTATTTACCTACTCTAGGGAGTGTTAGACGTCAGTTAGTATGGAACTAATTCATCTATTTTATTTGTCATCCATGGTTAGTATAGTGGCCTAGTTTACCTGGTACAGATGTCGCTAAAAGCTGATATTTGAAAAAAAAGTTGGTACACACAATGACATTCATCCCAGAGGTGTTTTATAGATATAAATAATGTAAAGTATTTAATGAATACATTTAATTATTTCTTATTATAAGATATTATATCAGATTATTTATTTATATATATAAATGAATGGCTAAATCTGTTGCTAAGCGCAAAACTCGAGAGCGGCTGGACCAATTCGGGTAAGTATTTTTTTTTAAATCACAACATTTATATAGATTAAAGATACACTACGCAAGTCAGTTTTAATATGATATTTTTTAACCTACCCTACCCCAGTCTGCAAATTTATGATATTCGCAATGAAAAAAATACTAATCGATAGATTTTTAATAGCTCAATTCAACTACGTAGCCCTTCCAAATTGCTCACCATTAATTATAAAATTAAAAATCAATAAAGTCCTTGAAAAAAAATTCATTTATCCGTATATTCAAATTTCTATATCTTTTGATATATACAATATTTTAAATTGCTCAAAGTTCTAAAATACTGCTCAAGTTGCATTTGTAATTGCTCAAGTAGAGTTCTCACCAGCTCCACTTTCCTTAATTATTAAATAAATATAAATAGTTTGAATAAATTTAACGTATAGATGGGTGAGTGCTGCGCATGCGCGCAAACAGTAACGCGAGTCGCAAGGCAAAAAAATCAAGTGTTTCATAACCTCATCATAGTGAAATGAAACTGTAATACTCCAAGCACAACATCATCTATTATCAGGTATTTTTATTATTTATTGACTTATTCATTATGTTCAATTTATACAAAAATCAAGCTGTTTTAGCTCAGAAGTGGGATGACTGCAAAAATATACTGTTTTTGCAACGCCCACGGATCATCTGACAATTTGAAGGTTACGTTATTTTGTAATTTATATGATTTTTTTTTAGTGAAAGGATTCAAAATCCTAAAATATGTTTCAATTTGTGAGGTAATTGTGTATTAAGTTGAATAATATGAAAAAAAATACAAAATAGTGTGATTATTAGTTAGATGTATATGGATTAATCCAAAGTATATTAAAAATGTCTACGGAAAATTTTATTTGAAAGTAGAAAATGATGTGTTAAGATAGAATTAAGGCGATAAAATACATATTAACTTAGATTGAATATTGTATAATAACAGAAGTTGAAAAGTCATTTAGCTCAAAAGATACTACTCCTGGATGTGACAATATTTTATATTCCATTCTTAGGTTCCTTCCAAATAATGCCAAAACGTGTTACTTTTACTATACGATAAACTTCTGAATCTTGAATTTATACCAAAACAGTAGAGAGACATTAAAGTTGTTCCTATTCCGAAACCTGGTCCGGTTGGTTCTAGTTCATCCCTAAGACCTATTTCAATGATGTTGTGCGTTTGTAAAGCTTTTCATAACATTCTATTGAAGCGAATACAATGGTTTATAGAAAAGTTTGAATTTTTTTTAAACCGGATAAATGGGTTTAGAAAATTCCGATCTACACTTGATAATCTCAGTGATTTAGTATTGACAATAGAGAAAGTTTTCTTTTAAGGAAGACGTACACTATAGTACGCTTTATAGACATCGATAATGCATATAATAACAATCTCAGAGGTCTTTTACATAACGTGGAGGAAATGGGAGTCGGATCTAATATTTGCACCTACGTACATAATTTTTTTCAAGGAAAGAAATCTTAATATTTTAATTGATAACTCGTATTATGTCTCTAGGAAAACTTAGCCCAAGGCGATCCTTTATCACCTTTAGTGTTCAATATAGCAACTATGAATTTATGCAAAAAGATTAAAAAATGTATTAATATCCCAATATGCTGATGATTTTGTAATATAAATAACTTGTGATAACTTTAGCTTAGGGACCATACGTATGCAGAGATCGCTAGATGAATTGAATAGTCGTTTATCCGATATAAGGTTGACTGTATCGCCATCGAAAACGAAGATTTGTGTTCTCATGTCTGACTATAGAAAATAAATAATTAATTTAAAAATTAATAACATTGCTTTGGAAAAAGTTGATAGTATTAAATATTTAGGTGTTTGGCTGGATAAGTCACTAAAATAGAAAAAGCATATAGATGAATTAAAGGTTAATTTATCTAGATGTTTAAAAGTTTTAAAGATCTTGGCAGTTCTAGTTGGGGTATTCATCCAGTGCACATGCGACGTCTATATATTTCATTAATTCGTAGTAAAATTGACTATACCAGTTCTCCCAAAAACTACAACAAATTATGCAAAGAAGGATATTACATTTGAAGG